GTGTGCTGTGATCACATGTGGTGGTGCTGTGCGTCGCGTCGCGTGATGTGATGTGTGTTCGATGCTCAAAAATGGCCAACATTGAAAATATTAGGTTCACCCTGTATATCAAAAGTAGTCGATTACGGCGCACTGTAAGCGTGCTGCCTGAGTGGGTCGCTGTGGTGTGTCGTGTGGGTGGTGGGTGTGTGTGTGTGTGTGTGTGTGTGTGTGTGTATGTGTACGTTGCTTAGTGCTCCTCCGATATCGGACTCACGTTCTCTTTCGTCCTATTGCTGAAACCGACCTAACCTTTGCTTCAGAATTTATTTTTCTGATGTGTTCCGTAAACGAAGGACAGGTAGCAATAAATATATAGCCATCTACCGTCTAACTTTATGTAAGAAAATAATTAACCACCGTAACCGAAGTGAAGAAACACGACACGATAGGCCTGGCAACGTCTAAAATTAGTTTGACATTTTCTAGAAGATAAAAACATGCTTATGTATTTAATTTTACGGCCGACAGATGGCACGCCTTACACAATAAAAACGTCATTTACGCGTGGAACATATCGCGTGTATTTCAATGTATATTTAGTCGGTGTCAACGAACAGAAATTACTCGACAACTTCTAACACATGTTGACGTTCTGTTGAAAGCGACAAACAGTGATGCATATATAGTTACTGCATTTGAATTAGCATTAGTAGTGATAACACAGATAGAGTGTATTCACTTCATGTAGGCTAGGCCTATGTGTGGTTGTCAGTAAGCGAAGTGCTTATAGAGCAACTAGACCAGAACAAATGTCAAGATGGATACATGGGTCCGGGGAACATGTCCCCGGGCGTATTAAACTGGCGCAAGCGTACTTCCATGGTGTCTCATGTTCATACTTGCGTTGTCATATTTATACGTTGTGTTTATTAGAGACTTTAAATGCGTCGATAGTTCGTCTGCTAAAGCTTCCTTCACACAAACAGGCAAGTGACATGCAAAGTCTCCAATGAACTCCAACCTGGCGATTTCCCACAGACGTGTAAATTATATATAAATTATAATGAACAAATATTTGAGTGCCCGCGAGTAAAGGATTTATGATGTAAATGCAAAAACAAGCTGAGATGATATATGGTCCAGATACACGAATCAACATAACCAAGAGTAGATAATAACATCTACGTAGTTATATTATCTACTCTTGACATAACTCATACAGCACTGCCAATGCGCTCGACAGCTATTATATAGGGCCCTACAGGTAACAGGAGAGAATAGTATAGATTATTCTCTATTATAGAGAATATTATCTCTATATATATAGAGTATTATTATCTCTATTATTCACTTCTGATATATATATATATATATATACTGTGCGTACTGTGAAAATGTATACAGCATCACCTCGCATGCAACATACACACACGCACGCACGCACGTTCGCCCGCACGCACGCATAGACACGCATGTACGCGCGCATACACGAACTCGCGCACGCACACATGCACACGTATCCGTTCACGTGCAATATCGCCAAGGGACATCGTACAAGGACAACGGGTACATCAGAACTGCAGAGCACGTACAGTATACGCGGCTACACCCTCGCTGGCCGACCCACCTACCGCATTACAGCCATAGCAGGCCGGCAGTATAGTGAGTTACCCATAGACAAGCTGTTAGGGGCATCTAAGTGTTGGTCTGACGCTCTACGGTGAACTAAGCTGGACTCGGTTCTAACTACACGGTGCCTATAACCCATCCACGCGCCTACTCGCCAGCAGTGGAGCATAGGTTTCACGGGCTCACGCGTGAAACCAGCTCACGCGACGGACACCAGCTCACGCGTGTAACCAGCTCACGTGTGACAGACACCAGCTAACGCCCGGACCGTGGTAAGCACACGGAACGCCTAAACGAACGAAACGCGTGAATTTCGCAGCAAGGAAACAACGTTAGCAGTTAATGACAGCGGGAGTGAGGTCGGTACACCCGGCTAATCAGCATTCAATCACCTGCGAGCAGCAACCACAGGTAAGAACTGCTGTCGTTATAGCTGTGACGCTGGCGGCAAGAGCGAGATGACGGCGATTAACTATCGACCGTTAGAATTATGGATGCATAAACCCCTGCACCGTCTCTTCACGTCACAAAGCCACGCGAGGTCACCGAAATCTGTGAGCGACCGTCACCGAGTGTGACAACTCGAGGAAATTCTTGAAGGTGTTATTCGAAATCTTGGTGGTGTTTTCACATCGGTTCGGTATTCCCAGCACTGTGTAACAGCTCGCGAGTTTATACCAGATAAGGAAATTTTAGTAGCTATAATAAATAATTCCTGATAAAATATTTGAAGAGAATATATGAGCTGAAGAGGTGTCCAACATCAAGATACTATATCTTATATTATATACCATATACTATAGTATTACTACATCGTATATTACATGCTATATACTGTAGTAATACTATATCGTAGATTACATGCTATATATGCTATATATGCTGTAGTAATACTATATAGTATATTATATACTCTATGCTGTAGCGATACTATAAAGTATTCGGAGCTATAGCAAACCTTATAGCAACATTTATTGAATAAGTTCTTAGCTGATTAAGGGCACGAGAAGGGCGCAGCTACCTGTCAACGTGCACAGTGTAGCGGGGTGGGTCTACGGCTGGCTACACGATTTACACTTTATTTTAGAGTTATTTGCATTTAATAGACGTTCATTTTACTTGTCTCTTTAATCTAGGAAGGCAGGTGACAGCATACGCTTACGGACGACCGTGTAGAGGTTTCTTCTAAACCTGCAGCATGGAGAGTAGGCACAGGCTGCTCGTCCACGGAGCACGTCAGGTAGTACAGGTCGTCGCTAACGGGCAGAGAGTGTTGAAGGGTGCAGCTATGAGACAGTTGGCTGAAGTAACGGCCGGACCAGCAGGGGGCGTCAGCATCGTCGTGAACAGCAACGGTCGCATAGCGGACATTGGCCTTGACTCAGTGGTCACCTCGAAGTACGGCGGTGCCACGTTCGATCGTACGATCAACGCACGAGGGATGTGTGTGCTACCAGGTAGCGCCACTATATACGAATACCCGCTTCATCCTTGTTTCTGCAAGGCACGATGTCATCCAATAACCAAATCCACACTCTTACCCTAACCAAAATCCTCACCGTAACCTGTACCCTAACCACAATCCTAACCCCCAAATGCTACCTCACCCACAAAGCTAACTCTAACCACAATCCTAACCCACAAATCCTACCTTACCCACAAAGCTAACCCTAACCACAAAGCTAACCCTAACCACAATGCTAACCCTAACCACTATCTTAATCCTAACCCGTACCGAATAACCGTAACCGTGACCACAGTTCTAATCATAACCCTAATCCTAATCCAGCGTCCTTAGCCAAACAACCCTAACAATAACGCTAACCATAAACCTAATCGTCACCCAATATTTTAACCATGGCCGCAACCCTAACCGCAGTTCCAACCCTAACGCTAACTGCATTGTTGATTCGTTTCGCCAGGTCTCGTGGACGGTCACACGCACCCCGTGTGGGCCGGAGATCGGGTGCACGAGTTTGCCATGAAGCTCGCTGGCGCCACCTATATGGAGGTACATGAAGCTGGGGGAGGGATCAACTTCACCGTGAGACACACGAGGGAAGCCTCGGAGGAGGAGCTCTATACCAGCTTGTGCGCCCGACTCAATACGATGATCAAGTCAGGTATAATATATATTATAGAAGATTCGCATCTAACTGACCACGCCTCCGGGTCCCCGCCTTATATATAGCTGTTGGATCGATCAAGCTAGACTGCCATATATGTGTTGTTCACCCGCGCACACCACGTTGTCGACTTCGCAGCACTTCGCTGCCAAGCATTGTCTTTTGAACGTCCTATCACGTCAATGATTGGCTAGAGCCGCCTGTCAATCACGTCAGGTCAATTACAGAACGCCTTATCTCTCTCCGACAGCATATAAATACGAAACACATGTAGTAGAAAACTTAAACTGAAAGCCTATTAAAAGAACGGGGGATCTGGATCTGGATTGCATAATATGCTTTAGAGGTTGGTCGCACTCTCTTAGTTACTAGTTGTGCAGTAAGAGAGTTGAGGTCTCATTCACCAGTTTGTCCCCTGAGCAGTGGACCAAGTCGACCTCTTTGCTGACGATGAGGGTAGACACTGACAAATTTGTTCACATCCACATTGCTACCTTTACGCCACACTACTAGAGTGCTCATTTCCCTTGTTTCCTTTTCCTTAATTCTGTTCTTTATACGTGTTTTACATATCCCCCATACATCCATTCCTATGGATACTCACGCACATTTCACTTCTAAATGCATTCCTTCGAAATGGTAACATTCTCTCTCTCTCTCTCTCTCTCTCTCTCTCTCTCTCTCTCTCTCTCTCTCTCTCTCTCT